CACAAAAAGCAACCGTCAGTATAGTTCCTCACCATTGCGTCACTGTTTTTATGCCCGAAGTGTATGAAAGTGTCGGAGAATTAGACGAACCGTTGAAGATATACGAGAGGGCGACCATACGAGAGGTGAGACCATTAAGTGAGAGACCAATTGAGTTGAGAGCACAGGCTGTCATATGTGGAGAAGACGTGTTAGAAGACACGGCACCGAAAGACAGATTAGTGGAAACGAAATATATTAATGTAATGACACCTCAAGACTATGAATATATGGACGAACACCAAAAGGGAGAAACAGAGGATTTGAAGAAAAAACGAATTAAAAGAATACAAAAAAGAGATGAAAATGAAATGTTAGGTAAATTTATTATTGAAGAAAAATATGATACTGACGAAGAAATATTAGAGAAAACAAATGATTTAGAAATTGAAGACATGTCTGATAAATATGTTGCAGAAGATATGATTTCAGATAAAACACCAAAAATTGAAACCGAAAACGAAAGGATTGTAAAAATTGAAATTGAAAGAAATGAAGAAATAGAAATACATGAGATGTCGGATGAAAGTAATGAAGAAATAATAGATAAAAATAAGATTAAAGTGACTGAAAAGAAACCTCAAGAGGTGTCAAGTGATAAAGACGTTGTCAAACCGACAGAATCTACTGAACAAACAGAAACTACGGCTGAATTACTTCCCGAAAGTGTTTCAACAGATATCACAATCAAAAAGAAGAAAATTAAGACCAAAAAGCGCGACTCAACCACAGAAGAGATCACTCCTGAAGGTATGGAACAGATCGCTGTCGAAGAGACCGTAGAAGTCACTGAAAAGAAANACAGAAGAGATCACTCCTGAAGGTATGGAACAGATCGCTGTCGAAGAGACCATAGAAGTCACTGAAAAGAAACCTCAAGAGGTCTCAAGTGATAAACTGGTTATCGAACCGACAGAATCTACTGAACAAACAGAAACTACGGCTGAATTACTTCCCGAAAGTGTTTCAACAGATATCACAATTAAAAAGAAGAAAATTAAGACCAAAAAGCGCGACTCAACCACAGAAGAGATCACTCCTGAAGGTGTGGAACAGATCGCTGTCGAAGAGACCGTAGAAGTCACTGAAAAGAAACCTCAAGAGTTCCCAAGTGATAAAGACGTTGTCAAACCGACAGAATCTGATGAACAGATTGAAACCACAGCTGAATTACTTCCCGAAAGTGTTTCAACAGATATTACAATCAAAAAGAAGAAAATTAAGACCAAAAAGCGCGACTCAACTACAGAAGAGATCACTCCTGAAGGTATGGAACAGATCGCTGTCGAAGAGACCAATTACTACCCGAAAGTGTTTCAACAGATATCACAATCAAAAAGAAGAAAATTAAGACCAAAAAGCGCGACTCAACCACAGAAGAGATCACTCCTGAAGGTATGGAACAGATCGCTGTCGAAGAGACCGTAGAAGTCACTGAAAAGAAACCTCAAGAGGTGTCAAGTGATAAACTGGTTATAAAACCGACAGAATCTGATGAACAGATTGAAACCACAGCTGAATTACTTCCCGAAAGTGTTTCAACAGATATCACAATCAAAAAGAAGAAAATTAAGACCAAAAAGCGCGACTCAACTACAGAAGAGATCACTCCTGAAGGTATGGAACAGATCGCTGTCGAAGAGACCATAGAAGTCACTGAAAAGAAACCTCAAGAGGTCTCAAGTGATAAACTGGTTATCGAACCGACAGAATCTACTGAAC